CTACTACCCCCAGGGTTCAGCAATGAACAAAACAGCGTCTCAGTCTTCATGGATCTCACATCCTAGTGAGGGGGCTCCAGGAGATTGCCTACATAATAGGCACTCAGGATACAGTACTCATAATTAAAAATTTCAAACATCAGGCAAATGAAAGAGTCATAAACCACTGTCTAAGCACACTGTCTGGAACATTGCTCTGACTCATTTTTCCTTTAAACAGCAAATATGGCAGTGACTCAGGCAACTTAAACAATGGATTGAACTGTCCTAACTGTGGGTACTGTGGTCTTAGTAGGTGATAATTCTCCTAACTAGAGGAAAACACTTTCCCACATATGTGGAGATATAACCTCATATTCAAACGATCCTCCAGGGTAGGAAGGGAATGAATAACATCCTATTTAATTAGACATTAAGAAAAGTTATAGGAGATTAAAGATTTTTACAGATACTTTAAGATATCATCACATTAGGGGCACCTGGGTGGCGTAGTCAGTTGGGCATTCAATTCGTTTCAGCTCGGGTCTGATTTCAGGGTTGTGAGATCGAGCCCCACATGGAGCCTGCATTGAGCCCCGCGTGGGGCTTCATGCTCAGCGTGGAGTATGCTTGAGTTTCCCTCTCTCATTCTCCATCTGCCCCACCCCCAATCATTCTCTCTAAAATAAAAAAATGAATCTTAAAAAAAAAAAGATACCATCACTTTAGTAAGCTATTTCCCTCACTAGTAAACCCTGTCCTCTTTATATTGGAAGAGGGAAAAATGATATATTTCCTCATTCTCTAAGATGCACTTACCAGATAACTTCTTAAACAACTTTTATTCATGGATGATACATTATTCACTATTTTCTAATTATTATAAGAAGTGTATACAGTTTGAAATAACTGTGCTCTCCTCTTTGCTTCCCCCATTTAAATTAGCTCTCAAACATCTTTCTAAGTTCCTAACTATATGTGTTTGTGCTTTTGCTGATTAACTTCCTGAGTTTCCATGATTTTCAGAATGTAACACCCCTTCACCCTCTACAAACCTAAAAAGCTCTTCTACCTCTGAGGAGTGAATTTCAGTGATTTCTCTGCTTACTTTCTGAGCTCTCTACATTTCTATAAATCTGTCTTGCAGGTGACTCAGAGAAACAGCAAACCTACTCTTCCCACTGTGGAAAGGACACAACTCAATAAAGGACGCCACCATTTATAATTAGTCTCTAGTTCATCTATTATTCCTATGTCTATCCAGCAGTTAGAGTCATCTCTAAAACTTGTCTATCTGACCTTGTTACAGCCTAGTTGATGATACCAAGTGTCCTTCCATTGCCAAAAGGGCAGAAAAAAATTCCTCGTGGAATGTGGCTTCTGCACCCGTCGTGACCTGGTCCTGTACCTCTTAAGCATCATCTCTCACCACTCTCCTCACAATCAAGCCATACGCAAATGTGCAGATTTCCTTGGTGCCACCATACTTTTAAACCTCTATGTCTTTATTCAGTCTGTTCCTTCGGCTCAGCGCATACCCCTTCTTTCTCTCTTAGAAAAGGTCTTCTCTGACTGTGAGAGAGGTTGTTTACCACACCCATCATGGCTTGTAACCACTTGCCCCATGTCTGAGGAGCCATGTCTGCTTTGTCCATTCCAGCATCCCCAGCACCGAGTACAAAGTAGTCAGAATAAAGATTTGTTAACCAAATGAGTAGTATGATTCTAACTGAAAACTCATTATTGAAAAGAACTGAGAGTGAACATAATTAGTAGAAAACGTAAGAAACTTTTTTTTTCAAGAGGCACAATTGGTCACATTTGATCTCTAGTGAATATCTGCAACATTCCAGGGTTTAAATCCCAAATGTTAAGTCTCCAGTCAGATTTGCACTTCATCAGACCTACAATCCAGACTGGTGGTTAGCTGCCCAAATTGATATCTGAGCTACTCATTTTATTTTGACTGTTTGAGATGAGCTTCCACAGCTGTTGTAGTACTGTATTGTCAATCATTTGACTTTTAGGTCAGAATTTAACCAATTTGGAGGAGGAAAACAAAAACCTTCAGAAGACTTATTTTTTGATATTTTAGCAGAACATAACTAGCATTCTCCCCATAGATATCCATTTACAGTTCTCTCAGATTGTGTATATTCTTTATAAGAAAAAAAAAAACAGTGACTGGGACTTGAGGCTATAACCTAAGGTTTTTTTTTTTTCTTTTTTAAATTTTGCTTATTCATTTGACAGAGAAAGATAGAGAGAACATACAAGCAGGGGGAGAGGCAGAGGGAGAAGCAGGCTCCCTGCTGAGCAGAGAGCCTGATTTAGGGCTTGATGCCAGGACCCTGGGATCATGACCTGAACCAAAGGCAGGCACTTAACCACCTGAGCCACCCAGGCACCCCTATATCCTAAGTTTTTAACTTGTCCTCAGTAGATAAAACTTTACTATGTGGTCTTTGAAAGTAAAAACTGAGTTTTCCCGAAATGCCAAAACCTAGGATAAAGCATTTAAGCTTCACTGCTTTTGTTCCACAAATGTTCACCAGACACTCCAGGCTTGTGACAAGTGCTGTGGTGGAATCATATTTTGATGTGTTTTATAACGTGCTTTGATCCTCTACTTCTTGTTACCTCATGACCCCTCTAACAGCAGCTGGGCATCTACTTGTATGTGTCAGGGGAAGGTTTTTACAGAACACAGGGGGAAAAAAATAATCCCAGGCCTTTAAACTTGAAATTTTAAACCATGAAAGTCTTGAGACATAATATTTTTCAAACCATGTAATCGGTTGGAACATTTTTTCCACCCCCAGATTAGTCTATGTCAAGAGAAAAGAAGAGCAGAAAAGAGAACAAGGGAGAGGAACAGAAAGGGAAAGAGCAGAGGAAGGGGGAGGTGGAGGGAAGCAAAGAATGAGGTGCTGGGAGATCCTCCATTCGGGACCCGGTTCTAGACCTCCTTGGACTCTTCATCTGGAGAGAAGGTTGGAACCTCCTGATAGGTTTGGGGATCTAAGTAAATGGGAGCCCATCCCCACCTTTCCCTGGTAGGTTGTGAAAAGCAACAAGGCATCTGAGCTTTCCTGTGCTTGCTGTTGTATCAGCTAGGATCTTAAGAGGAAAACAGAAACAACTCCATTTAAAACTGAGGAAATTTCGTTGTGACAGGAAATTGGCTACATTTGTTGCAGAGACCCTGAGAAGCCAAATAGGATAATGACAAATCTAGAGATGTGAGCAGCAGCAGGAAGCCACTACTCCCCCTATACTGGAAGACCAATGAGAAGAGATGGTGTTATTAGACCCCAGGGGCCAAGGTCACCAGGGAAGCTGGAACCACAGGAGGCCTGACTGGAGGGAGAGGATCACATAGGAAATGCAGCTGCTGCTGATGCAAAGAAAGGTGGAGGTAAACTCTGGCCTCTACCTTCTTCCCATCCTCCAGTTGCTCACTAATGCCTCACAAGCACCAAACCCAACTGAATCTAGTGGGCATGAGTCAGCCACTCTGCAGCAGAGTGAGAGAAGGGTGAGACAGGGGCCTGAGGGCAAATACCCCCAGATGTGAGAGCAGGAAAATGTCTGCAGGGGATGTCTAGGATTATGAACCTAAGACACCCTCACAGATTCCCCATGCCCGGAGGGGCCCAAAGCAAGACATCCATGACAGAGGAGCCAGAAGACTTAAAGGGGCTTTGGAGCTGGGACTAGGAAGACACATCAGAGATCTAACTAAACAGGAAACCAAAGATCAAATGAGCTCACAGCCATCCCAGTGTGTCCCAGCTTGGACAGAAGACAACATTAAAAAGATCAGACTTGCCTCCACCATAACGAGTTGACTCCATGTAACTGCCCCCACTCCACTCTCATACCTCACATAGATGACGCTACCAAGGGAAGGGAGAGGAGACCATCTAGCAGAATGGAGGCTGAATCTAAATTCACTCTTAGATTAAAAAAAAAAAAAAAAGGAAAGAACCTAGTCTTACATCTAACAGAGCCCACTAAATGTTGGGGAAGAATGGATACAACACGGATTATCAGTAATGCAGTGAGAAATGGAGAGAAATAGGTCATGTCCAAGGATGTGCTGGGGCTGGAGATCCACATAGAGAAGTAGTTCCTATACTTGCCTGGAAGGAAGGGCTTTTCAGAGAAGGCCTCACAGGTGATATTTGATGAGTCCAATGCCTGATCTTCAAGAGAAGCCAATGCATTCCTTATCTAACTACAGCCCATTGAAGTTTTTCAGAAACCTGGCAAATCTCTCCAGGTTTATCTTCATTTTGATTAGCAGTGCTGGAGTGATAGGATGAGTGGGAACCGAGTTTCAACTCTGATGAGTAGCATCAGCAGCTTGCAAAAAATGAGTGCCTTTTTTTAAAGATTTATTTATTTATTTTAGAAGGAAAGGGAGAGAGAGTCCCAAGCAGACTATATGCTGAGCATGGACCCTGATGAGGGGCTCCATCTCAGGACCCTGAGATCACAACCTGAGCCAAAACCAAGAGTCCAACACTTAACCAACTGTGCCACCCAGGCATCCCAGAAATTAGTTCTTCAAAATGTATCCTTTTGTAGATTTGGTAAGGCCATTTCTAGACTTCCGTTTTGAACTAAAGAGTGAGATCTCAAGGCACTCACGTAGTCTTACAGAATGTTCAGTCCACAAGAAAAGCATATATAAGCCAACTGGAATATATTATGTCCACATTACCAAACTTCTATAATGGAACAGATTTCAATCTATCATTTAACATTCTAATCTGTCAGGACTTTGCTCAAAATACTGAATTTGCCACTTTGTAAGCAGAGAAACAAGACCATTGATTTACAAATAACCTCATCTATCACTATTCCAGAAACAATATTCCTAATCTTACCTTTTATAATCTAATAATTTAGGAAAAAAAAATAATTGCTATTCTTTTCATTGTTTATAAAGTGAATAATGATTCTATTACTGGAAACAATAAAGGTCATCGAACTATTTTGAAAATTTTCTTTACCTCATTAGAGATGTGTGTTCCAGAGAGATCCACTGATAGCAAGGAAAAGATGTTCACAATATATTCAATTCCTAGGTCTGTCAAATATTCACAATTTCGTAAACTCAAGTAGTTTAAATTAGGGCAGCTGAAAGAAAGCAGTATGAAGAATTAATTTTATCTTTTAATCACAGGTCAGTAGCAATTTCTTTATACCAAAACTATCTGAGAGAAGCAAATGGTATTGAAGCAAGGACTTTTTTCTCTCAAAATAAAAGTAAACTTAAAAGTGGAAAATAATTTGGCATTACAAAGTAGGATGAAAGGGAGGTGGATTATTATATATTATATATTATTATATATTATGTCTTATTCCTGTAGCAAATATATTATATATATTATATCTATGGTTTCATTTCATATCATAATTTCTAATAAGAAAAAATATCACATGTATACAAAAAACTATCATGTAAGTATGATGAATGACCACTAAAAGTACAAGGCCAAGTTTCTCATTTATCCCTTACATGTTTGCTATAGGAATTGACCCTTACTTACTGTACACAAGGTCTCTGACAAGTAAAGAGGATAAGGAATAAACCTACCAGCCAGAACATCCCTTAGGAAATGCTGGAGTAAAGGTTTACATAGGGATCATATCCTTGAAAAGTGCAGAGAAGTCAGTAATGTCTAGATAGTGATAACTTCATTAATGACTCCATCTCAAACATTCTCTAATGTGAGATTAATAAGAAACATCTCAGATATGATCAAAAGACTAGTTTTATCTGACTCCAATGTCTTTTATTTTATTTTATTTTATTTTATTTTATTTTATTTTATTTATTTTATTTCCCTGAGTATTAGACCAGTTTCTCAGTCTCCTGGGGTTTCCCAAATGGTTCTGAAGGTCTATCTCTGATGTCTCCTATTAGCAGATACACATCACTAATGATATAATGTAAAATTTTTCTATTTTATCATACCGCTCTGATAGTTTCACAATAGAGATATCACTCAGGTGGATACAGTTACTTAAATTTAGCTCTCTTATCCTTGTGCTCACAGGACCATCAAGAAATTGCCTTAGTCCCATATCACCAATTCTGTAGGAAAGAGAAAAGCTTACATGTGATTTTATATGTAAATATATAGAGTACTACTTAAGTAATAGTTACTATATTCAATACATTCCAAAATAGCATGGTAATATCTTTATATGGGTATTGTGTCAACATTTTAAAACCAAATTTGATCATATAAATTCAGCATAATAGAAAAAGTATAAATGATAGTCATGAGAGAAGTATTAATTAACATGTTCTTCCTGTTCGTTGTTCATTTAATTAAATGGCATGATTATTAGAATTATTAACAAGACAGATGGTTCTTCAGGTCTCTTTGGTGTTAAAATGTGATCAAGTTAAGCAGTCCCTGATGCAGTCTCCTGCAAAAGAAAAACACCAAAACTTAGGAAAGGGAGAACCAACACTAACAGTCAAACTACAGCCAGAATCTTGCAGGAATTTTCACTAAATACAAGGTCAAGTTAGCTGGACTGAAAATCCAATAAGTGACCTATGGAATTTTTTCTGCTGAAGTACAGAAAACCTGGAGGAAGACCTTGACCTCAGTCTTCCCACACTGTCTATCCGTAATCAGAGACACCTGTGTGTCAGTGCCATTTCCACCCTCCACCAGGAACTATGCCTTATAAATGGCTAGAAGTCTGTTTGGCCCATCTGTTCCCTGTCTTCCAATGGGAGCTTTATTTCTAATTCCATTTGGAGACCACCAGTTCCTTCTAAAAAGCATTTCAGTAAATAAAGCACAACAGGAGATCGCACACTGCATCCTAAGAGAGGTGGCTTTCCCACACAACAATCCTATAGGTAGGTGTACCGATGGGAAGAGCCTTGGGAGCCATATATGTTGACTGCTGATATTTCTTATACCCTCTATTTGGTCAGATTTACAAAGAGCCGAGCAATACAGGCAGAAGGTGAATGGGCCTGTTTCAGTTGAATGGGATACCTCCTTTGTCCATCAACTCCCCTTCCATCTGCAATAGGACAGGGGGACTGTGGCAGCACCTGGGAAAGCAGTTAAGGGCTTGGTGGGTGGGCGAATGGGAGGGCAGAAGGGAGGAGAGTATAATCACAGCTGATCAACTTATCTCTTGGCAAACAGCAGAGCTGGGGTATTCATTGAGAGATATTTTTACTAACCAGAAAACAAATATGGCATGGCATTTGTAAGACTTGAGAAAGCATACCTCTGAAAATGACTTTTAAAAGAAAATACAAAAACATTAGAACCTAGTAAACAGTGTAAAGAAGCAGTAGGAATTAATAAGGAGCGACCTGGCTGTAACAAAAACATTCTAAGATGCATTCTAAGATGAAAAGGTGGCCACCTGAGATAAAGAACAGATGGCAAACATAGCAATATTTTTCTAGATATCTAGGTTTTCTAGATATGTCTTCTAAGGCAAGGGAAACAAAAGCAAAAATAAACTATTGGGCGACTACATCAAAATGAAACCTTTTGCACAGCAAAAGAAGCCAACCAAACAAAATGGCGACTTACTGAATGGAAGATGTTTGCAAACTAAGTCTGATAAGGGGTTAATATCCAAAATATATAAAGAACTTATAAAAGTCATCTTCTGGTGGCAGGGTCTGGAGAAGGGGTGGCAGGTGCCATGTCCAGCTGCAAAGGTGGCAGGAAGAGACCCCTGAAGCAGCCCAAGGAAACGGACGAGGAAGAGAAGGCGTTCAAGCAGAAACAGAAAGAGGGGCCAAAGAAACTCAAAGCGCTAAAAGCAAAGACCACGGGGAAAGCCTCCAGGGCCACAGGTGGAATTAAGAAATCTGGCAAAGGGCACCTGAGTGGCTCAGTCAGTTAAGCGTCTGCCTTCGGCTCAGGTGATGATCTCAAGGTCCTGAGATCGAGCCCCGCATTGGGCTCCCTGCTCAGCGGGAGTCTGCTTCTCCCTCTCCTTCTGCTGCACTCTCTCTCTCTGTCAAATAAATAAATAAAATCTTTAAAAAAAAGAAGAAGAAATATGGCAAAAAACAAGCTGTTCCTGTGCCTGAGGCAATGGTGATCCTTAATTCCATTCCTGTTTAAACATCTGGATTCCCTGTCATAGCATCTGTTGCCACTTACGCTAGGATGAAGTGTTTTCTTAGATCTTGTTGTACATTTAAGAATAAACTTTTGTAAAAAGAAAAAAACAATCAATCATTAAAAAAAAAAAAGCTTAGGGGCACCAGTATGGCTCGCATCTGCCTTTGGCTCAGGTCATGATCCCAGGGTCCTGGGATCGAGCCCCACATTGGGCTCCCTGCTCCCTGGGAAGCCTGCTTCTCCCTCTCCCATTCCCCTTGCTTGTGTTCCCTCTCCTGCTGTCTCTCTCTGTCAAAAAAAAAAAAAAAAAGCTTATGCAAGTCAACACCCAAAAAACAAATATTCCAATTAAAAAAATGGGCAGAGGACCTGAATAGACATTTTTCTAAAGAAGACTTATAGATGGCCAAACAGACACATGAAAAGATGCTCAGCATCACTCATCACCAGGGAAATGCAAATCAAAACTACAATGAAATATCACCTCACACTTGTCAGAGTGTCTCGTATCCAAAAGACGAGAAATAATAAGTATTGGTGAGGATGTGGAGAAAAGGGAAAATTTGTACACCACTGATGGGAATGTAAATTGGCACAGCCACCACGGAAAACAGTATGGAGGTTCCTAAAAAAATTAAAAATAGGACTACCATAGGGTCTAGCAATTCCACTATTGGGTATTTACCCAAAGAAAATGAAAACACTAATTCCAAAAATATATATCCACCCCAGGTTTATTGCAGCATGATTTACAATAGCCAAGATATGGAACCAATCTAACTGTTCATCAGTTGATGAATGGATAAAGAAAATGTGGTGTACATACATGTATACACACACTATACAGTACATAGAATAGAATATTATGCAGCCATAAAAATGATGAGATCATGCCATTTGAGACAACATGGAGGGACCTGGAGGGACCTACATGAGCTAAGTCAGACTGAGAGAGACAAAACCGTAGGATTCCACTCATAAATTGTTGGGGTTAATACGGAGCATGAAATCAGCCATAATACCTGGCTTGCTAAAATGTAACACAGAGGCCGCTGAGGGCAAGGGAAGGTTTCGGAGGAGGGGTGGGTCTTTGGAATGCCGACGCCTACGTGACCACTCTGCCGTTGGAATGCTGGGGGAGTTGCCTTCCCCGAAGCTCTCGTAGCCCAAACAGCCGCCCGTGATCTAAGAGTTGTATGCATTGTACCTTAGGCTATGTTTAGTTGAACACGTAGATTAGCATATCTTATCTTTCCCGTAAATCCTCTCAGTTTCAGTAAGACCCCTTGTCACACATCACGTGCTTGAGAAATAGTGATAAGGGGCACCTGGGTGGCTCAGTTGGTTAAGCAACTGCCTTCGGCTCAGGTCATGGTCCTGGAGTTCCAGGATCGAGTCCCGCATCGGGCTCCCTGCTCAGCAGGGAGTCTGCTTCTCCCTCTGACCCTCTTCCCTCTCGTGCTCTCTCTCTCTCTCATTCTCTCTCTCTCTCAAATAAATAAATAAAATCTTAAAAAAAAAAAAGAAATAGAGATAAGGATAGCCTGAAGGACCAAGAAAAGCGGGAGCAAAGAAGAGCAAAGGGTCTTCATCTCTGAGCGTTGCCCCCTGGATGCCCCCCTATATGTTGTAAATCATGCCTTCTCCTCTCTTTCACGGCAAAGTTTGGAGTCATCTTTCATCCGTCGGTACAAGGATTGCTGGCCATTCCCAGCAATAAATGAAATCTAAAAAAAACCCATACGAGGGTGCCTGGGTGGCTCAGATGGTTAAGCATCTGCCTTTGGCTCAGGTCATGATCCCAGGGTCCTGGGATCGAGTCCCGCATTGGGCCCCCTGCTCAGCGGGGAGCCTGCTTCTCCCTCTGCCTCTCTCTCTCTCTCTCTCTGTCTCTCATGAATAAATAAATAAAATCTTTTAAAAAAATAAAAATAAAAATAATTGTTTAAAAAAAGATAGAAATAAAAAAACCCATACGATTGCACTCATAAGTGAAATTAAAAAAAGAGAGAAGAAAACCAAATGAATAAAGAAACAAAAAGCTGAATCAGACTCTATAAAGACAGAGGAAAAACTGATGGTTGCCAGAGGGGAGAGGGGTGAGGGGATGAGCAAAAGGCTGAAGAGGAGACACAGGCTTCCAGTTATGACCAAATCAAGGGAATAAAAGGGTAAGGAATACAGCTAATGACATTGTAATAATGATATAACAAGACAGATGGTAGCCACATACAGATGGTGAAAACAGTATAATGTATAAAGGTGTCAAATCACTAAGCTGTACACCTGAAACTAATGTAACATTGTGTGTCAACTATACTCAAATTAGCAAACAAGTCAAAAAAAAAAAAAAGATAACAAACTAAAAATTCTATGGTAAGAATAATAACCTAATTTAAGTCATCAAAACCAAAATTAACCCTTTTAAAATATTAGTAGAAGGCATATTTGAGAAGTTCCTTTGAAATGCAGAAAGATAAAGAATTAAAAATAAATGAGATAAAAAATAGAGAACTAGGATTCAATCTTTAAATAAAGAGGATTCTCGAGAAAGATACAAGAATAAGTAAAAACAAAGCAATAATCAGTGATATATAAAAGCTTTTAAAATAGCAAAGCATGATCCATATGTTAAAAAAGAGAGAGTAAATAAAAACAAAAAGGTAAAAAGTAAGTACAAATAGTAGAAACATAGAAGAAGCCAAGGAAGACCTAATATATCAGTTTTATAATAATGATAAATAAAAATAAGTTGAAAATATCCCCTATTAAAAGACAAGAGATTTTCAAATTGGTTTAACAAATAAAATCTAAATTATAAGTAGTCTACAAGGAACACATTTAAAATAAAATGACAACACAACAAAAAAAATTGCAAAGATGTATTAGGCAAATGTAAATAAAAATAATACAGCAGTGGCAAATAATGAATACATTGAGTCAAAACACTATGCTAATAAAAATATTAAATAAGACTACAAGGTAATTTTATGTTGATTAAAGTTACCACCCACAATGAAGATAGTGTATTGGGTATAGATTCTTGAGGTCATATTCTTTCCCCCGTGAAACTGTGACAGTGAAATGGAGTAATTATGTAGTGACTTTAAAAATACGTTGCGTGTGTGTGTGTGTGTGTGTTATCAAAAAAAAAAAAATCGGACTGACCTCTGGATTTCTCATCTGCAACAGAAATATCAAACATATAATAATATAAAGAATAATATATACAATAATAAACATAATATAAACAGTAATAATATAAATACCAATTATAAATATATTTTCTGTTACAGAGGAGAAATCCAAGTTCAGTCTGTTTTGGTAACTTTAGTTATGAATTTTTATGCAACATATAATAAAGCATAAATATAAAATAAAATGAAAATAGAAATTCAAAAAGAACATAATTAAGATACAATTTTTTTGGTAGACTGAGCTTTTGACAAACAAAAAAGAGGCATAAAAATTAGAATAATATAACTAATTCAGTTTAAGTTCCATGCAATATTTAAAGGTATCCAACATATTAACATAATCATCATCTTCCCCACCACCTTTACCCCTAAATAAAAAAATCTCAATTCTGAAAGATGGAAATTGTGCAAGCCATCTTTTTGTACCATGATGTCATAAAACTGAAAATTATTTACAAAGTGATTATTAGCCATAAACTACTCGGGAATTTTTTTTAGCATTTTATTTATTTATTATTTATTTATTTATTTATTTTTAATTTATTATGTTCAGTAGCCAGCATATAGTACATCATTAGTTTTTGATGTAGTGTTCAACGATTCATGAGTTGTGTATAATTTGGGTAGTTGAATATATCTTCAATAAATAATTCTTGGATAAAGAGAAAATCAAATAACTATTGTAAAACTATATTTTTCCAAAATTAATTTTATATTTAACACAATTTCAATTAATATCTCAATAGGATTTTTTCTGAAATGTGACCAAATTGTTGTAAAGTTCATTTGGAGGGGCACCTGGCTGGCTCAGTTGGTAGAGCATGTGACTCTTGATCTTACGGTCATGAGTTCAAGCCCCACGTTGGGCATAGATTATTTAAAAAAAAAAAAGTTTCTAAATTTCATTTGGAAGAATAAACTGGCAAAAATATCTAACTTACTAAGGAGAGTCTAATTCCATTAGATATTAAAACATATTATAAAGCAATAATAATAGGTAACATTTATTATTATGTGCCAGACGCTATTCTAAGCATATTACATGAATTAACATATTTGATCCTCAAAATAGTCCTGAGTTTATACTCTTATTTTCCCCATTTTACAGATAAAATACTGTATAAAATTAGATAGAAAACAGATAAGTGAATAGAACAGAAAAGGTAGTCTGAAAACAGACATACATATACACATCCATATATATATATACACACACTCATATATGTGTAAATGTACATATATATGTATGTGTATGTATATGTGTATATATATGTATCTATAATTTTATATTATAATCCAGAAGGCATCAAAAGTCAACAGAAAAGGATTATTCACGTAATGGTCCCAATTAATTGGTTAATGTAGTTCATCCCAAATCTGGCTGTGCATCAAAAGCATCTATGTAGTTTTGTTGTGGTTTTTTTTTTTAAGATTTTATTTATTCATTTGATTGAGAGAGAAAGAGCACAAGCAGAAGGAGAGGCAGAGGGAGAGGGAGCTGGGAGCCCGACGTGGGGCTCAATCCCAGGACCTGGAGATCATGACCTGAGCTGAAGGCAGACTCTCAACCATCTGAGCCAACCAGGTTTTTTCAAAAAAAATACAGAAGCTGGGGTTCCATTCCTAAATATTCAGATTCAGGAGCTCTAGGGTAGGGCTTGGGCACGTGTAGTTTTATTCAGCTCCTTGGGTGATTCTGATACCTTGGAATTTTTGCTTTTAAATCATATATATGTTTTCAATTTACCTTTTCATTACTGATTCCTAATTTAATAGCATTGTAGTGAGAGAATAAAGTTTGTTGATACTGATAATTTGAAAGTTATTGAAACTTGCTTTAAAACTTCATGCACAGCCCATTTTAAAAAAAGGTTGATGTGTGCTTGATGAAAATGTATATTCTCTGACTCTCAAAATTACTGTTTTAGGCTTATCTCTTATAGATGAAGTTTTACAATCTAATCTGAAACTCTGATACTAAACTCTGTCTTTTTACCCTATGATATACTCTTTCATATTTTTCATCTTCTTCTTTTTTTTTTTTTTTACTCTGCTGTCATGGAAGAGATTATCTTCCATCTCTGTACTTCTGTCCTCAGTGAGTTCTAATCTGCTGATTGGCTGGCTATCCATTGGGTTTCTTTATTTCAATAACTATATTATCTTTTTTATTCCTAAAAGTTGTTTTTTCTATGTAAATCTAGTTATTTTCTCATATTTTGTTGCCTGCTCATATTTCTGATTTCATTAATTTCTTCAAACATTTCATACATATTTGCTTAATATCCTATGTCTGACAACTCCAATATCTGAATTATTTGAAGGTCAAATTTATTTTGCTGTTTCTGATAACTCTTTCTCATGGTAACTCATATCTTTATACATGTAACAATTTTTAATTGTGAGCACCTATATTTTATTCTTAATCTAAGGAGTCCTAGAAGCCTAAATAGAAAATGCTTTCCTGGGTTGCATGGGTGGCTCAGTTGGTTGGGCAACTGCCTTTGGCTCAGGTCATGATCTCTGGGTCCTGGGATCAAGCCCTACAGTGGGCTCCCTGCTCAGCGGGGAGTCTACTTCTCCCTTTCCCTCTGCCCCTCCCTCCCAGTCGTGTGTTCCCTCTCCCTCTCTCAAATAAATAAATAAATAAAATCTTAAAAAAAAAAAAAAAAAGAATTTGATCCTTGCCCACCTGAGAATACCAGGATAGAAGCCCAATACCCAGTTGAAGAAAGGGTTTCATTAAGAACTTGTCATCTGTCCATCTGTTAGGGACTCCACACAGAAGACAAATCTAACCAAGAGTATGAAGAGGAAACCCTTCAGTGAGATTGGTTTCTCCTAAGCAACTAACAAAGTCTGTTTGGGAAAAGGCCTGTTAACTGAACTAACCATGAGAATCCTCATTAGGAAAAGTAGCCCATAGTGTTCCTGTGAATTCATTTACTCTTATAAGGGTCCATGATTCCACATGGGTGCCCCTTCTTTATGTTACCACAGAGCTCTGCACTTCCCTGTACTTGGACTCCTGACTTTCATGTTTACTAACTAGTAAGCCCCATAAGGAGAGGGTCTCACACATTTTAGATAATCAATATTTCTTGAATAGATAACTGAATGACTCATTACCTTATACAATTTGCCAAATTCAAGACAGTCAGTTGCTTCAAAGGCGAAAGTGACTTAAGGCTACCATCTGTTATTCTCTTGCAGTCGGCCATGTAAATGTGATTGATATTTGGATAATTCTTGTCTATAAATTTGAAGCACGCATCAGTAATCCTTTTATTTCCTGTTTAAAAAAAAAAACAACAGAAGGCAAGTATCGTATTTGTAATGCCCCAAGAGTAAAAGCAAATATTAATGCTGAGCCCCATTTTTAATATCACAGACCTTCAAATCGGATCTTTCTGAGGTTACAAGTAGAAAGAGCTTTAAAAGCACCGTCAGAGATATGAGGCGCACCAATGAAAACTATTGATGTAATACGAGAACACTTTTCAACTAAAGCCTTTAGAAGAAAAAAGAGGATTAAATTTACCACAGTGTATAGAACAAGCTTAGCAAAGTAATGAGGTTATTTATTTTTCTCAATATTTTCAGAAGGAGACATATTAACTATTAAATTTTCCTAATTTCAAAGACAATGGTACCTTTATTCAATATATTTGAGCACACTTACACTTGAGTAATGGAGAGGAATCGAAATTAAACCATGTTACAAAGTGGGGGAAAACATGAGAAAATGGGGTGCGGAAAAAAATCACTTCATTTAGAAGTTTGACACAGAGAACTAAAGTTAAAGTTTATGCTTAGGCTACAGGATCTCTGAAATAAAAATATCCTGATTGGGAAACAGAGTTTTTTAGGGTATGTAAGGATTCAAATGTTCAAATGTTTGTGTGTGTGTAAATTTTTTAATGATTTTCTTACTATAAAAACAACTAAATTGAAAATCCCATTCATATTTTGCAGTAATCCAAGCCACCAGAAAATGTGCCCATCTATTAGGACTGAGAAGAAAATGTACTTTGCAACCACCTACTTTTACACAGTTGTCCGTTAGAGTTGGCATGTCGTTGATGGTCAGATGCATAATTCCAGTGCAGCTGTTTGCAATGTTCCTGAAGCCTTGGACTGAAATCTGAATTGTACAGAATAGATGAAAATGATGGAAGAACTCGTTAGCATGACATCTAATAAAACCCTAAAGAAGTAATAACCCAAGGTATGTCATGATTTTGCTACTGTATTTTAAAATTGAAACCATAAAATATGGCCGACCTAAGCAAGAAAGGATCTAATCTTGATTTCTTTACTACTTAATTTCTTATATGTATATATTGTGAAATGATCACCACAATAAGTCTAGTTAACTTATTGTTTAATTTTTTTATTGAGGTAAAATTCACATAACACAAAATTAATCACTTAAATGGGCCATAAACCATTCATAATCTTATGTAATCATAACCTCTATCTAGTCCCAAAATATTTTTATCACTCTAAGAGGAAATTGAATCTACTAAGCCATTGCTTCTTACACACCCCTCTCCCAGCCCCCAGCAATCACTATCTTTGTGGATTTACCTCTGCTAAATATTTAGTGTAAGTGGAATTATACAATATATGGCCTTTTGTATCTCCTTTCTTTCACTTAGCATAATGTTTTTGAGGTTCATCCACAGTGTAACATCATGTATCAGTACCTTATCATTTTTATGGCTGTATATAAAAAAAGATTTTATTTATTCATTTGAGAGAGAGAGACTGAGAGCATGAATGGAGGGGAGGGAAGGGGCAGAGGGAGAGGGGGAGGCACACTCCCTGCTGAGCAAGGAGCCCAACATGGGGCTCGATTCCAGGACCCCAAGATCTTGACCTGAGCCAAAGGCAGATGCTTAACTGACTGAGCCACCCAGGCACTCCTGTGGCTGAATAATATTCTGTTGAATGAATATACCATATTTTGTTCAACCATTCATCTGTTGATGAATATTTGTGTTGTTTCCATCTTTTGGATATTTGAATAGTGCTACTATGAACATGCATATACATCTATTTGTTTGAGTACCAGTTTTCAGTTCTTATGAGTATATACCTAGGAGTGGAATTGCTGGACCATATGGTAATTCTATGTTTAACTTTTTAAGGAACCACCAAAATGTTTTTTACAGTGGTTGCACCATTTTACATTCCACCAGCAATCTATCAGTGTTCCCACTTCTCTACATCTTTGCCAGCATTATTTTCCATTTTCCCATATTTTCCTTTAAAAAAATTTCCTAGTGGGTTTGAAGTGGTACCTCGTTGTGATTTTGATTTGCATCTCCTTAATGACTAATGATATTGAGCATCTTTTCATGTATTTATCAGTCACTTGCATATCTTCTTTGGGGCAATGTCTATCCAAGCCCTTTGCCTATTTTTTAATTGGGTTATTTGTCTTTCAGTACTTGATTTATAAGAGTTCCTTATATATTCTGGATACTAGAGCCTTAAGATATATGATTTGCAAATATTTCCTCCCATTCTTTAGGTTGTCTTTTCACTTTTTAAATAATGTCTTTTGATGCACAAGTTTTTAATTTTATGAAGCCTAATTTATCTGGTATTTTTCTTTTGTTGCTTATGGTTTTGGTGTCCTATCTAAGAATCCATTGCCAAATCTAAAGTCATGAAGCTTTACCTTCAGGGTTTTTGTCTAAGGTTTATTATTTTAGCTCTTATATTTAGGTCATTTGTCCATTTTGAGTTAATTTTTGTATATGGTATGAGGTAGAAATCCAACTTCATTTTTTTTTAGCTTTTCAAGTATTTTTTTAAATTTAATTTAATTTTATTATGTTACGTTAGTCACCATACAATACATCATTAGTTTTTGATGTAGTGATCCACAATTCATTGTTTTCGTGTAACGCCCAGAGCTCCATGCAGTACATGCCCTCCTTAATACCCATCACCAGGCTAACCCATTCCCCCATCCCCCTCCCCTCTA